CCGCTATTTCGTCTTCAGTTTTGATTATGTGAGATCATTTCCTACATTTTGAGTCGTTAAACTATAAGTTTTTGTGCTAGAATCACAGAGAACGGGCAAAAGGGATGGGGGAGTCAACCGCAGCACGCAGAACCTGAAAAATTTTCCGTTCTCTGTGATTCTAGCAGAAAAACTTATAGTTTAATAACTCAAAATGTAGGAAATGATCTCACAGCATCAAAACTGAAGACGAAATAGCGGAATTCTACATTAGAAAAGGTTATGAATTTTACAAAAGTTTTCGCTGCGGGAGCCTTTTCGACCCGACCGAATTTCGACCCGGGTCGATAACAAGTCTAGTTTAAAGGGACATGCAAACTCAAATAGCAGATAGCCGACTAGTAGACGGCATTTGGGGGAATCGACTCCCGGCCCGCGCGCAACGAGATCAGAAAGCGATGCCCAATCTGCATATCAGCCGGCACAAACCCTTGCCGGTGACAATGGGTGGCGGGCGGGACCCTCCACCCAACCCCGCGTTTTGCGTGAGAGCACGTGAACGGCGCATTAAAGCGAGCACAGAGGGGAAGAATCGAGCCCCGGAAATGCACCCGACTCGGACCGCCGATTCCGGGCGCCGAGGTCGAAAAGTGTTTCGTGGCGGGGACCCTTTTTGGCGGCGTAAGCCGGCGGCGCGGTCCGATCGTGTTTTCCGGTGGGCCATGTGAATCGGACGGGGGAGTCGGTTTAGGCAAATTCTCGACTTGCCTACCAATGGTGCAGAACGACGAGTTCCGATGGTCTCGATGGATCTACGGTCGCATTTAGGACGCGAAGCGATCAGATCAGCGGCGATCGGCGGGCAGAAAAACCCGGATCAATAGTTGCAAGGAATTCTGGATTTATTTTGAAGTTTGTAAATTACGTGAAACAGTAAGTAAAAAAAAACCAATAAATTTTACCAGGAACTACAAAAAATAGCGATTTTTTATCAATATTTCGAATTTTTAAAAATGTTTTAAAGTTTGTACAGGGTTTTTAGCTCTTTTAAAACGCAAAAAACTTGATTTTTCTAAAAGATAAAAAATACCGATGGTTCTAAACACGCAATACGCTAAAAGCAACGCCCCGAAAACCCAAATATTGAGATTGGACAGCGCGGGCGGCGGAATACGATAGCAATCGTTCCGGTTCGTGCGCGGGAGGAGGCCGCACAGAAATTGGCACGTTTCCGCGCGCCCCAGGGCGCCGCATGTGCCCAATTTGTTTTGTCGTTCCGCTTGACGCCTGGGTGGCAGGCGGGACAGTTTGGCCGGGACGCGCCCGGGGTGTGACTGGTTTCATGGAAAAGCTTTTACCTGGGTGCGATGGCGAGTCAGCGCGTGTAGAATGTCGAAAAAGCTAGGTGGGCTCTTTTTTGAAAAATAGTGTCATACCTAGCATTAAAAGCTTGGGTTTGGGACTATATTTCCGTTTGTACGCCTTGAGAAGTCACCGAGGTAATGTACTGTTAGCGGGGGGGCTTTTAGCAGGGGTAACTAGTTTATGTCTTTCTACATACCTGTAGACTATAAAAACACATAAATAATCTAGTTTTATAGTGTTTTTAGTAATTTTGGACTGCTAGAAAGTTATAAAAATTTGTAAAAAAATTGAAAATTCGATAATTTTAACCTTTTTTGTCGTTTTTGATAAATTTTTGACCAAAAAAAACCAATTTTCGAAATTTTTTACAATTGTTTTATGAGGTTTTATATCTAAAAAATGTAGAAAATACTATAAAAACGATTTATATTTGGTCATAGGGCCGTACGGAAATCCGGGGATCGTTTTCACGCGAATCTACGCAGTTAGGGTATGACGCGTATTTTTCGAGGGCATCGGGAAGCGCACAAGAGACGGAGAGCGCCGAATCGAGCAGCCGGCTGGCGGATTCTGGTCCGCGTCCGCTTCTGTACACGTGACGGCGCGTGGGCCAGTCTGTCGGGTCCAAGGGCTATTTGGGTCCCGTTGGCACAGCACGTCATTTTTGCTTTGATTGGGTAAATGCCCAAAAATAGATAGTAAAACAATGCGCACCCTATTTGGTACTGGGCTATTAACGGGGGGTTAGCGGGGTCTATCTTAAACAATTTGCAAATGGAAATTTTAGCGCATTGAAATTCGACAAAATGATTTTAGATTATGGAGCGATCAGCCCCCTTTAAAACAACAGAAATCTCGAGAGCGGTCAGATGAGCAACGAATCGCCGGACTCGAGAGACCGTTTCTCCCCGCCTCCCCGTAGATCGACGTTAATCGGCAATAAAATGGACTGCTGCGGGGGGAATGAGAGAGCGCGACTTTTAGGAAGTATTTATCCCCTTCCCTGGATTCCCTACATGGAGCCAAGTAGAGACGATAGATAATTGGGAGGGTTTTGACAAGCCCAAAGATCCATCCGTCCATACAGCACCCAACACTCCATCACACGGACTCAAAGGTACACTAAAGTCTCGTGGGTTTGGTTACCGGCCGGTAACCGTCCGCGGGATAGCAAACAGGGTTACGGTAGGCGCTCGCCGCGGAGCAAAACCGAACCCCGCGCCACTCGCCTAGGGCGAGCGCTTTAGACCACTAGGCCATGGGACAGACGGGAGAGGGGAGAGGGAAGGGGGATAAGAAGGGTCCGGGCGTGGAGCGGCTGACGGCCCGAATTTCCGACCGCGAACTGACTTTTTGCATGAGATTTTAGTGTACCTTCAAGGATCAACGAATCGGCCGCGCTCGCGCCAGCGCGTGCACGCCGGGGCAGAAAGATATCGACAAAAGGGGATTTCCATCAAGGACTTCAAAAAACAAGATTGATTTCAGCTCTATAATTGACTAAAAATAAAAAGAAAAGCTCCTGAAATTTGTCGCGCATTTTAGCCGGGCGAGAAACCGGTACTCAACTGTTAGCGGGGGGCGGCGGCGAATAAAATTTTCCGAACAGTCCCATACGCCTTTTTTTGGAATTTTCTTCAGTTTTTTTAGATATAAAGCCCTTAAAAAGAAACGTTAAAATGTACGAGAATTTATGACTTTTTGTTCAAAAAATCTATGAAAAAAAAGCTAAAAAGGTCGAAATTTTGCGTTTTAAAATGATAAAAATTCGACAGTTTGATGACAATGAGTCAATTTTCCCAACGCTGACTTCATGAAAAAAACGAAAATTTTCCCAAAAAAACGAAATGTCACCCAAAACGACCAGGCAGTCCACCCCCATACTTGACGAGAATGGCGTTCCTCCGGTAGTTGTTCGCGGTCTTTCTATTGTATTTGAATTGCCTCTAATCCACCCGTGTACTCCGCCCGCGCTAAAACGCCAATTTTCCCGCGTCTTCGCGCCAGCCCGCGCGCCTCAAAAATGGAGGATCAGCGCGGCGCGCCGTGTTTTGTGTAAAGGCCGGTAATCGCGGAGAACTTTCTAAGTTCCGGGGCAAAGCACTTGACGCGGGGATTTCTAACGGCGTTCGATTGCCCGTTTTGAGGCGTTCGGCCAGCAGCTGGCCAAAGTTGGTGTGAGGTTGATGTCCTTGGTTTGGTTGTAATCAGAAAAAAAATACAAAAACCGTTTTGGGGAGGAACCGATTTTCCAATCGTCGTGGACGGGATCGAGGAGGACGATCAAGAAAACAGGACCCTCGCCCCCATCCTGGGGCTAATCCCGCACAAGGACGACTCGTGTTTCGGTGTTCACCGCCGTAGCGATTGTGATTTGAGGAGTCTGGCCGGTGAAATCAAGGATTACGACGGAACTATGGGTCCTCGAAATGTGTTACTAGGAATACACGACCACTGTGACTGCGTATCGGCAGTTGTGCGCCAGGTTCGGAGCGTTTGGAAAGATCTCCATGCGTCATTCATCAGCGCGTAGCACGCGCCACGTAGTCAACGGCAGACGCCGATGATCGCGCTTGCTATCCCCTTTAAAGGGCCCGTTCAGTGAGTTGTACGTATTGATGACCGAGATTCTGATTGTCGCAGAGACCGAGACAAAGAGAGCGAGAGAGAGAGAGAGAGCGAGAGAGAGAGACGGACATCTCTTTGCGTAAATAGGAGTCCACGTAGCGCGTAACTGAGCGTGGCTTTGGAGAGACACGGCCCAAAAGAGACTGTTTTCGATTTTTTTCGTGGATCGTTTAGAAATTAGAAATTTTCAAAACGCCGCGCTGCACTGAAAGTTCTCCCAACTTCCGGCGGGGGCTGGGGGCGGGGATGAAGTAAAAAGTCTTGCCAAAAAAAGCCTCGCGGGGTACGGTATATTTAAGCTAGCCAATATTATTAAAGATGCAATCGAATTACGCTTACCCACGACGAAAAACAAAAAGCAGCCCGTTCGAAACAAATGCCTAGAGCTACCGCGTAGAGCTACCGCGAGCCTGTAAACAAGTCAACAGTGTCGGTCCGTGAGTTCAATGCTTCATCCGTTGAAAACTAAAAATCATATGAAACCACGCGGGGTATCCTACGTCCGTCAAAACATGTATGACAAATTGAGGGGGATTCAGATGTAGATTTAGAAAAAGGGAGCGGGAGCGGGTTGCCCTCTGCCCCCCTCTACTACACCAGAGAGTTATGCAAATCGTTGCCGGGGGACCCTGATGGACCCGATCTGTTTGGGCCTTGTTTTACAGGAAAATAGAGCGGCGCCTGTGTTTGTTTATCATTGATTTTAGCATTTGCAGTTTTTAGCAGAATTTCTCGCGGAAAACTGTATCGTTAAGGGCAAGCTAGCAGCGATTCTTTGCAATTTCCTAAGCCGTGACTTTTTAGTTTTTTAGAGTTTTTGCGCCAAATGTTTGACCATTTTTCAAGTGGAAAAACTATCTTAAACTTAGAAATTTAGAAATTTTGATCGCGGATTACCGAATTAATTCTAGGCGGGAAGCTAGCAGAGATTCTTTGCTTTTTAAAACGTGGGCCTTTGTTGTAGTTATTGTAACTTAAACATAATTTGAAATCATTTATATACAGAACGATTGAGGATGCATGGCTTAAGAGCAGCCGCAGCAGCTCTTGATGACGTTCCAGTAGCCGAGGGTGCCAGAGTTGCGGCAGCCGGCGGGTCCTGAAGGTTTTTTGATAGTTTTCAGCGTTTGACACCCAGATTTATGTAATTGATGTTTTCCAACTTTTTTATCACCTAAAAACGCAAAAACAGCACCTATCAACGCTATGAAGCTACAAACAACACAGTTTTACGTTTCGCTACGCCACTTTCCCCAATGACATACCTCCGTTGTGGAGACGGGACATTTGCTCGCAGGTGCCGAATCCGTAGGTCGAGCATCCGCCCTTGTAGCGGTTGTAGTAGTTCTGGACGCAGGTCGTCGCGCAGTTCAGGTCATCGGAGCACCTGAATATTAAGAGTTTTGTAACGCAAAAGGTATCTGAAAAATAGAGGTAAATGACAAAGGTTGACATTAAATTACGGACTGTATTGAAAAATACAGGGAGAAACTCTAGTTGAAGTACAATTTTAATAATCACCTCTTCCAGGCGGCATCGGTGCTCTCGCCAGACTTCTTGCCGGGCTGGCCGCAATCCTCGTAGTACGGCAGTTTAATCTAAATCCGGAAATTAAACCGATTTAAGTAAAAGCGTACAAAATTGCTCCGTTAGAATTTCTATACGAAAGCTTCGTGCTACCTTACCTGGTAATATCCACAAGACAGCGATCCGACGTCCATGCGGCAGCCGAGTGGCTTGCAGCCCGACTCGTGCAGGCAAATGCAGTGGATGCACGTGTCGGCCACGGCGGCCGCAACTAGAAATAGTGTATGGCCTTCAAATGTTAAAATATATATATTATTAAACTGATTCAATCCAAAAACCAACCGAGTACGGCGAAAACAGCGAAGCGAAGCATTTTAGACTGGGTCTGCTGTGAAGACAGTCAGGCTTCTCCTTCAGGAAAGTCCGACTTTTATACCTCAACTCGCCGTTATCGCTGCACGTGTCGCTGCTGCTGTCCGGGCCAGACCCACACAGCCGGAACTCCATTGCACAAGCAACATACCCTGGCCACGGGTACTGATCTTTCTTTTTTAGGGAGAAAGTGCGAGAGAGAAAGAGAGAGAAAGAGAGAGAGAAAGAGAGAGAGAGAGAGAGAGAGAGAGAGAGAGAGAGAGAGAGAGAGAGAGAGAGAGAGAGGGATAGTGCGAGAAAGAGAGCGAGAGAGCTGAGGTGGCAGAAAGCTTATTAGATAAAGGCCACCAAACTTCACACCGGAAGAAGGTGCAGGCAGCGTAAACAGTTGCCTGGGGAATAATAACTTTTCAGCGCTGTTCGTATAACGTTCTATTTCCTGCCTCGGTTTTGAGGTTTTTCAGACCCCAAATTATTTAAGGTAAGCTTCAGTTTATGATTTTTCGATTAAAAATTCGGGATCAGGATCCAAGAATTATTACTAATTTCCCTTTTTAGGCTTTTAACGCCTAATTATTTAATTTTGTGGTTTTCCAATTAAAAAAAGCGCGGATTACGCTTCGAAATTAGCTTCCAGGCCACTTTTTTTTAATTTTCAAAAGCTATTTCGATCTGTTTATAGTTTTCCTATCAAAAATAGACAATTATGATTCACGAATCTCTGCTAGCTTGCCTTTTTTTAAGTTTTTAACGCGCGCTTATTTGAGTTAGAACTTGGCGAGTGGAAACTAAGCATTACGTTTCAAAAAAGGCTGCTAGTTTGCCTCCTTTTTACAATTCACAGTGAAGCACAATTTTTCCCGGCCAAAAATCGCCCGGGGGCACGTGGACCTTGTCTACGCCTTCCAGAAATTTCCCCTCGACAATCACACCCAGCTCATCCGGGGCCATTTTTTACGGCCGTTTATGCCAAAGATATCAGCGGACTCCGAACTGTCCTCACGATACGGCAGCCACCCCCAAGACGCATGTCTTTTTTTACACCCGGCCCGAAGTGCTTTCGCGCTGCGCCGCCCCTGGAATTTAGCGGCCGATCTTTTGCGGTGGAGTGTAGCCGTTTATTTGTGGTCCCTGACATGGTAAGCCTTTTTAGCCATAAGCCTAAGCGGAAGCCTAAGCCCGATACTAACCTAAACCTAAGCCTAAGCTTAAGCATACGCCTAAGCCTTAGCCTAAGCCAAGCCTAAGCCAAGACTAATCCAAGCCTAAGCCCAACTTGGTAAAATTCGAAATTTTGGCCGAAATCGCCATTTGGGAAAAAAAAATCGGTATTTTTGTATTTGTAACGCCAATTTGTAAGTTTTTACGTTCAGGAGTAGTAAAAAAATAGTAAAAAAACGCTTCTTTTATGTATAATAGAAGATTTCGATCCTTAGAAAAAGTTACTCCTCCCCCCCCCCCCGATAATGTGAAAGTACCAATTGAATTTTTCGATATAATGCCTTTTCGATCAACATTTTTCGGCTAAATATCACTCCGTAATATGAATTTCGTTAACGTGACTGGAACTCATTTATTTCCGAGAAAACTGGGGCTCATCGGCCTGGATGCTGTACTCGACGACGCCGTCGATCGCGCCGCTGTCGTAGAGGAATTCCAGCGCCTTCTGGGTTAGGTATCGCGTGGCGAGGAAGAGGGCGAGGTACTGTAATGGATTATTTAGGGTCTGTTATATTTCTGCGGCGGCCACTAACCTGAACCCATGCCCACTTCAACAGCTCGAACGTTGTCGTGGCGCGGACCAGCATTTGGGACGGGACGCTGAAGGAGAGGCCAATCTCAAGGTGTTCGGATGGCCGCCAGGAAGTGGACGATCTACAGGGTGTCCCATAAAAAAGCACCCCTCCGGCATTTCGCCATATTACATCCGATCGGTCCCAAATTTGGGCCAGCGGTGTATCAGACCCTAAATAACCACAATCCTGAGTTATGGCCCGCCAGCTACAGTAATTTTCGAGATACAACAAAAATAAACTTTATTATCCGTTTTCATAAGGTTTTTGTCGGAATCGACCATTTGAATATTAAGTGAAAATGAAGCGGCATGCGTTCTTTACCCTTAGAAATTTTTTTTCTGATAAAAATTTATCAAATAACCGTTGATTTCAACAATTTTTGTAAGTCAAAGTCACACCCGATATTAAGCGAAATTAGGGATTCGCAGCCGGAAGTCGATGCAAATCGATGCAAAGTCCAAAAAGATAGCCGAAAAAACTGTTAAGAATCGCGTAAAAAATAGGATTTTGGCGATAACTTGACAACTACTGTAGCGATCCGGCTATAACTCAGGATTGTGGTTATTTATGGTCCGATACACCCTTGTGCAAAGTATGGGACCGATTGGATGCTAGGCGGCGAAATGCCGGAGGGGTGCTTTTTTTTTGGGACACCCTGTATAGTATTAAAAAATGAATTAATCACTGTTTTTTCCCTAAAAACCTCTGCTAGCCGGCCTCACCTGGAGATGTCGATGGCCAACGGCTGGGTGTGGATGCGCTCGAGTAGGTTTGGCAGTGAGAGGTCGCTAACGCGGAATTGGCCTTGTGGGGAGAAGATGTACTGCCTGAAAAAAAACCAAAAATTTACAAATTGGACCTAAACCTAAAATAAAGATGTTTTAGGTAGAAAAATCAAATTTTCGAGAGCCGAAAATTACAAAAAATCGAATTTTACAGAAAAACGGGTCCTATGAGCTGAAAAAAGGTTGAAAAAAAAGCAAGTTGTCTTCCACTCTGACTTCTTCATTTTCTCTTGGTTTTCAATGGCTTTTTAAAAACGTGGAAAATTCAGAAAGTCGAAAATCCGGAAAGCCGAGAAATGTCGAAAATCCGGAATGCCGAAAAATGTCGAAAATCATAATGTCGAAATTGACATAACAAAATTTCTAGGAAAACCCCCAAATCCAATGCAAAAAATTGGGCTCTATACCGGTAACGGGGTCCTTAAAAAAAATAAGGGTCCTTAAAAAAATAAGGGTCCTTAATAAAAATAAGGGTCCTTAGAATTTCAGGTTAAGGACCCCTGTCTCGACAGGGGTCCTTAAAATAGATGCTATTTTTAAGGACCCCGATTCCGGCAACTCCCGAAAATACAGTATTTTCGCCGTTTTCGCGGAGACGCGGATTCGCGACAGATTGTCCTTTGTTTCGCATTTTGAATTACCCCCAGTTTGTGCCTAAAAATAAGGCTTCGTGCCACCCGGGCCTAGTCGCTTCGGATGGCTGCGAGCTCGTACAGGGTTTCGAAATGGGGGCGCCAAGGCCGGCGAAGCGGCCGGGGGCGCCCCCATTTCGGAAGAGTGGAGCGGCAGCCCATCCGAAGCGACGGCCCACCTTGCCTGACACGCCATAAGCGTCAAATTGTCCCTGGCTAAAAAACCTAGCACGTCGGGTTGGCTGGAAATTTCTGTGGGGATGAGCACGATTTCAGGCTTATGGCGTGTCAGGCAAGGCGGGCCGGCGCTTCGGATGGGCTGCCGCTCCACTCTTCCGAAATCGGGGCGCCTGGGCGCTTCGCGCTCCTCGGGCGCCCCGATTTCGAAACCCTGTACGAGCTCGCGCCCATCCGAAGCGACTAGGCCCCGGGTGGCACGAAGCCTTATTTTTAGGCACAAACTGTGTGTAAGAGAGTCGCGTAATTTAAATAGCTAAACGAGGCACAATCTGTGCAAAATCGGCGAAAATACTGTATTTTCGGGAGTTGCCGGAATCGGGGTCCTTAAAAATAGCATCTATTTTAAGGACCCCTGTCGAGACAGGGGTCCTTAACCTGAAATTCTAAGGACCCTTATTTTTTTTAAGGACCCTTATTTTTATTAAGGACCCTTATTTTTTTTAAGGACCCTTATTTTTTTTAAGGACCCTTATTTTTTTTAAGGACCCTTATTTTTTTTAAGGACCCCGTTACCGGTATAGAACCAAAAATTGCTCAATTATGAAATTCTACGTTATTAATTTCGACGCTATGATAGCAAATGAATTTTTCGATGCTTCCAAAAGCTCAAAAATCCAAAAAAAATACGGCCAAAACCTACGCCGATCCATCCCGTAGCGGCTCGAGTTGATCGCTTTTCAAAATTCCGCTCATTTCCCATAATCCATGTTGGCTCTTCACGTCTACGGTACCAGTCAGTGCAACATCGGCCTAGATCCACGAATTATCGTAATGAAAGTTACAGTACCTTGTAGCCAATCGACGTCGACAATTCGTACTTGAAGAACACGACGTAGGTGATTGAAGTGGCCGTGAAATTCTCGATCATCGGGAATTCGAATTTCAGCTCCATCTGGAACACATCAATAAAAGCGTACGTTTGATGCCTTCGTAGTCGTAAGGTTGTAACGAGTTGCTTTCAAATTCACGAAAATCATAATGCCGAAATCTCATAATGTCGAATTTCATCGTCGAAATTTACGATACCTAAGCAAATCAACAGAAAACATTCAAATTCTGTGCAAAAAAATTCGACATATTGAAAATTCGGCATTATGAAATTCCGAAAATAGGATTTTCCACCTTATGATAGCAAAACCGTTGTAATTACAAACCTGATCGGTGTTTCTGTCCAAATCATTGATCCTTGAGGAGCTCTGCGTATCGACAAAGCTAAAAATTCCTTGGGTACTTTTACATTATAGCGGGGGGGGATCTGGAAAATCCAAATTTTTTCTTAACATCCCAGTTACAAATATAAACAAGGAAATCTTTCTAAATATTTTTACTATTTCAAGGCGTAAAAACTAAAAAAAATGTATGAAAAATACAAAATATACCGATTTCCGGAAAAAGGACTGATTTTTGGCCAAAATTTCGAGGCAATGATTTGTTTTTTAGAATTTTGAGACAGTTTTTCTTGTTGAGAATACAGTATAGTAACAGTTCTACTACTTTTACTACTTTTACTCACATCAAATGATCCAAATCGGCACGGTTCAGCTGCGGAAAAGCCGACGAGTAGCGATAGTCCATATCCGATTTGAGGACTAGCAAATAGTCACCCAGGTAACTGAGCCTAGGCTTCTCCCAGATGTAATCCGTCTTTTTCCAGAGTCCCTAAATCAACGAATTTTTAACAATAATGAAAAAATACCGGTGTAAACAGCAAAAAGACGAAGGGTAGACCAATCTTCAGAAAGGCGCAAATGTTGGAGATTACATTCGCCGTGCTCCAGCTCGAGGCGCGAACGTCGCGGTACAACGGCTGAAATTGGTTTAAATGGATAAGCATTCAATAAATAATAATGTCTACTTTCTTTGAATCTGAATAAAACTGTTTTTTTTACTTGTTCTGGACGCACCAACTTTACAAATTTAGCCTAAAAAATAGAAAAAATATCGATTTTTCTACCAAAATGGCCGATTTTCGACCAAAAACGCAACTAAAAAAAATTTACTGACGTACGTCTATGCGTTTTTTTATTGTTTTTTTCCACTTAAAATATAGTTAAATTTTGCTAAAAACCGGACTAATATATAGTAAAATGCGCTGTAACTTCTTCAAAATGCCGATTAAGCAAATTTATAAGATATCTACTGCGCATTTCTGGCCTTATCAGAAAAGATGGTACCTCCCCCCGCTAATGCAAAAGAACCCAAATATCAATTAAAATTACACTACCTGTCTAAAAATGGTATTGAACGCCATCCTGATCGCTCAGCCAGCGCACAGAGATGATTAGACCGCCTGAAAGTTATGTTTTAAGAAAATGAGGAATCGGCGAATTACAAATCCTTACCAATTAACGTTACCACCGCCGAAAATAGCGCAATCGATAGCGAGCAGTAATTGTAAAGCCGCTGCGAATTTTCGTTCATCCAATTGGGCGCGGGGATTAGGGCCCACCCGGGGGGCTGGGGCGCCAACTATGGGGCGCGTGAAGCGCAAATATACGCTGCCATGGCAACCCACAAGCCCAGAAATGCCTAGCGTAACTGTGAAGAGCTTAATAATATTTGTAGTCTAATTTAACTATAGTTAAACTATCTAAAAACTAATGCCTAGCCGAAAAAAATCCGCGAAGTTTGGTCGTCAATTTTGTTCATGGGAGTCGAGGCGTGTTTTTGTATTATGATTAAACTTTAATAACGTTCCTTACCTAAGATTTTTTGAATCAACAACACGAGTATAATATTTAACTAAAAATAAACAACAAAACAGCATTTATACAAATATGTACAGAAAATAACCAATTCCTATCATCGTCGCCGCAACTTCAAGTCCTCGACAATGTCATGTATCTCCCGGTTTTTCGTTTCCGGCAGGAAACGGACAATGTAAAAGATAGAGAACGTGGAGGGTATCACATAAAGCGGCAAGAAAGCCCAGGAGCCGATGGCGTCATATAGTGGCAATACGGCGAACGAGAGGCCGACGACGAGCAGCGTGTTCACCGCGTAGCTGAAAGGTTTTCGCGGTTTTTGTTACCTTATCCGTCTCCTTTATCAGCTACCAACCTGAGCGACTGGACGCAAGAGCGGAATTGCATCGGCGTCAACTCATTGCAGATAAACCACGAGATGGGCCCGACGGCAAGGCTGGAATATTTGGGTCTTAACGTTAAAACGATACCCAACCAACCCATAGGATATCCCGTAGACGATCAATGCCGGCAGGCATCCCCATTTGACCCAGTCGGCAAGGTGGTGCAACTGGTCGAAGATCACGAATGACGCCAGCGAGCCGACGTTGATAATTGTGAAGGTTATTAAAAGGGGACGGCGACCGTACCTGCAAAAATAACGTTGTCGGTATAGAAACGGAAAGCGTTTTCGAACGTACAAACGTACACATCAATAAGTACCGCTCCGCCAATTGTACCGGCAATGTAAGCCGCCATCATTGCATTCGAGCCCCATTCGGCTACCGTGCTCGGCACATCGCTTTGCTCCAAAAAGTAAGTCGAGGAAAGCAGAAGTGACCACATCCCGACGCAGTTCTGAAACATGGGTTCTTTTCCATTATTGGGGGGGGGGGGGGGGTTATCGGGGAAAACCAACATTTTTCTTATGATCCAATTTTTCAAATATGAATAACGGAAGTTTCTAAACTGTTTTTTTAATCCAAAAGCTAAAATGTTACCGTTTTTTACTACAAAAAGTATCAAAATATAGAGCTTGGGTCAAGAATGGTCGATTTTTATTCAAACATCCCCTTTTCAAAAATTTTTGCAGTTTTTGGATAGTTTTCTAATTGAAAATAGTTCGATTTTGCTAAAAATACCACAAAAAAACTCCTATTAAGTTACTAGACATTTCTATACTTATACAAACAAATTTACCCCCCCCCCCCCCCCCCCGATAATGCGAAAGAACCGAAACATGACGTCGTTAAACTAGGACAATTTCGGCAAGTTCTAAATTTTGGTCATATCTCCAGTCCACCTGTAAACAAACGACGCTCAATATCAAGGCATTTCTCGTATGATCCGTTCGCAGCACAATTCGGCAGGTTTTCAGAAACGATGGCAACTCCTTCGATTCGGCCTCCTAAATCAGGCCTCGCATTACATTGATCTACCACAAACCTGTGCCATTTCCTCCAATATGGTATCCACATCGGCCTTCTGCCCGTGGTAGAATCGAATCGAGCGAGCCGCTTTTACCTACATTTTTTTGAATTTCAAAGCGTAACACGAACTAACCCGATCATTCTTCACGAGAAACAGAAATTTTGGCGTTTCCGGGAAGAAAAACAGCGCGACGAGGAAAAAGAGGCCTATAAGGGTGTGATAATGCATTTCAAGCGATAGATACCACTTACAAGGAGCGATTGGCACAGCCGTCAGGGCGAGCAGATTTTTCCCGAGCAGCTGATCGGTGCCTAAACGCTACCGGAAGTCTTATGAAAAGAAAACCCCAGTAAAACCTACCCAGCAGCATGCCGAGCAGACACATCGAGGCGAACACCACTTCCGAGAGGAAAGTTAGCGTACCGCGCAAATGGGTTGGGGCGCATTCCTGAAAAATTTGGTTAAATGATAAGAAAGCATAGGTTTCATTGTCCACCTGCAGATACAGAAGAAGCGAAGAGTATGTGGCCGCCGTGCACAGCGATGTCAGGATGCGGGCAAAGACGAGCAGGCCGATGTGCTCCCACCAAATCGAGGTGAAGCGGAGAATGGCCGAAATTAGCGAGCCCAAGCTGCCAGTCAGGAATCCGACTAAAAACTATTAGCTTCTGTAGAATAGTTTGTAGTTTTCATGGCTCAGATTTTGGAAAACTCCTAGTCGAAAAATATACGTTTTCGCCACGGCCTCACAAAAGAATTGGTTGAATAAACTAAAGAATTGCAACAAAACTCAACGAAATTTAAAACTAAACAAACGGATCAAAATCCACATATTATCCTACCTTTCCTCCCGAACTTATCGTTGAGCAGCGGGTTCAGGAAAAGTCCAAAAAAGAACCCAGCAAATGGGATGTTCAGCACAAGATTCCACCACACATCTATCGTGCCGGCGCTCGGATGGTTTGCGCCATCAGAAAGCGACTTGTTCAAGAAATCTAACAAAAAAATGGGGTACTGTAAATTAAACTTGGATACCTTTAAATTCGTCGACAGGCGTGTTTAGGAACGTCGTGGAGTAGCCGTAATGAAAATTGCCAATAAACGATACAAAAAGGCCAACAAGTACGCAGCATGCGTCAGCCCGAAATCCTGGGCGGACCTTTGGTAAAATTTGGCGAATTTTAGAAAACGTGGGCATCGTCGAAGACTTTTAGAAATCAGAATAGCCCATCAACCGGCCGGGGGTCAAATTCCAGCACTTCCCGGGAGCCGCGGCGGGTTGTCGGGGGAAAAGCGGGATAACGATAGGATTTGGAGGAAACGAGAGACAAATAGACGGCGAGAGATAAATTATCCCTTATCATGGAACACGACCGGGCGCCCGGGAGCCCGTGTAGTGCTGTTTTTGGCTTTTGGCACTGGTGGTGAGCCTCTTTTACGGGGAAAAGAGCAGAGATATGAAGTCGGGCGGCTGTACTTTATCCTCCGAGTTTTTTTCAGAGAATAAAGTGATGAAAAATGGGGCTTGTGTGGTTTGGAAATGCGTTAGACCATAAACTCTATTCTAACTCCAACTCTAACGAAACTAATGTCCAGAATTTCAATCTCAGATAAAGTTGTCGAATTTGCATAGTAAATTAAATAACGGAACACAACTAAATTTGCATGGCTTTGCCGGTTCATAAGCGCTGAAACCCGCCGGTGCTATCGTTATTTCGCCAACTCGGTCAAGACGGTCGCGCTCCCGGATGGCTCCTCCGACTCCGAAGTCGAAGCAAAGCAAGAAGAAGAAGGCGAAGAAGGAGGACGAAAGATTCGCCGAGGTGAAGAAGCCCCCGACGCCCCAGGGCCGCAAGGTGACGACACGTGAGACAGGTTCGTTATTTTCTCTCTTACTAGCCACACTTGCATCTCTTAATTTGCATAATTAATGCGCGATTCCAATTCTAATTCCAGAGGCTCCTATATTCAAAAAGAAGCTCTTTTTCCGTAATTTTTACAACGTAACATTAGGAATGACACGTTTTTTGAAGCAAAGTATACAGACATGGCAGCGATTTTCCTCTTATTCATCATTCCATTTTAGCTCCCGCCACACCCGAGAAAAAGGCCGAAGAACCGGAAAAAGGTCAAGCTAAGCCGCCGCCCACCGATTCCGCGCGCGATCTGCTCAAGCTGATCATCGACCTTGGTGGGTTTCCGGAATTCCGGCGTTGAGCGTCTGTGGGCTACGTGCGACACCTTTCGACAACTACGACGGGCTCCTCTGCACGCTCAACTGTCCACGGGCGGCGCAATTCGTCCTTTCAACCCGGAAAACTCCCCAATTTTGTTACAATCAAATTCTTCGAAAATTTGATAGAAAAATCAAGAACTAAATCCATATGCTTTTTTGTCGCTTTTGTGATGATTTTTTGAGGCCGCGCAGCCGCAGATTCTCGGCTTTTCGACATTTCTCCGCAACACCACTTACTTAGGCGTCAGCGGTCTCCGTGCAAAGTGGGTCGAACTGAAGCCGTACGCCGGCCCCAACAAGGCCATCACCGCCTTCACGGCCAACCCGGATAAGAACCGCTACAAAGACACGGTGTGCCTGGATGAGACCCGTGTCAAGATCACGCCGGAAGAGGCCAATGAGGGCGATTACATCCACGCCAATTGGGTCAAGGTAAACTTTCGCAGATTACTTCAAAGTTTAATATCTAGATGGACAAGCGCGAGACGTGGATCGCCACCCAGGCCCCCACCGAGGCCACCATCGTCGACTTCTGGCGGATGTGTTGGGAGCACGAGGTCGTGAACATTGTGCAGCTGTGCCGTCTGGTCGAAGACGGGAAGATCAAGGTGTGGACCACGCACAATTTCGAAACGTTGTCCTCTTTTCAGTGCGCCGCCTATTGGCCGGACGAGCCGGGCCTCTTCCAGAACCACGGCCGTTTCTTCGTCAACAACAAGAAAAAGGAGAAGCAGGAGGGCTTCACGGCGTTGACCATCGAGCTGCTGCCGGACGGGTGCTCGAACAGCCGGATTGTTCGGTGGGAACTTTTTAGTAAAGTAGCTTATCATAAAAAAAATGTTAAAAAGCTATTTTTTTTCGACCAAAAACCGCCTTTTTTAGACAAAAATTCCAATTTAACAGAAATTTTTTCTTTTTTTTTAATCAGTTTTTTAGTTAGTTAGCTTATTTAATTTCCAATTTAGTTATTTCCCCCGCTTAAACTATAGTTAAATTGAACTCGCGGGAACTCTATTTTTCCAGGCTCATCCAGATGCACGACTGGCCAGATCGCGGCGTCCCCACCACCGGTCCGCATCTCCTCCGTTTCCTGCGTGCCTTGGACAAGGTTCAAAAATTTCATGTTTTTGGCAAGCATTCATATTCAGCATGGTGACGAGTTGAACAAGGGCCAGACCGTCATGCACTGCTCCGCCGGGATTGGTCGCACCGGAACGATCATGCTGATCCACTGGATGAAGACGGCCTGCGCCGCGAACGAGTCTTTCGACGTAAGATTGTGCCTCTAAGACCATTATTTCCGCTTGTTTAGCCGTTCGAGATGTTCAAGAAGCTGCGCGACCAGCGAGCCTCCTCCGTCCAGACCGAGCAGCAATTCCTGTTCGTCTTCGCGACGTGCATGGATTGGCTTGAGGTAAAACCCCTTTTCTTGCATCCTGCAACTATGTTGCCTTTAGAGCCGCTACTCCCAGCTCCCGTCGAAGTTCGGGCAGGTGCAAAAGGCGTTGCTCGACTACAACAACAACAACAACAACAATTAACACATCTCCGTGCTCGCCCACCGCATCCACTTTATTGTCCACCCATTCATTGTCTTGGTTCCGCTCGCCTGTGATCGTATGTAAAATGCGTTGATTTTCAAATGTCTTTGTGAAATCCTTTTGTCGTGTTGATGATAAACATGGGTGGTTTATGTCGTTGGATGGAATAAAGAAGTTGTTCGAGTTTGTGCTTTGACCCTTGATACTTTGGTTCGCAAACGGCATAGTAGCTGCTTCATGAGCCTGCGATTTCTATGCCTTGGCTTTGATCCAAACTTGTTTCCGGTTTTGGTGCGCTTTCGGTTCTGGTTCGTTAGCCGGAGGGGCTTTATCGGGAAAGCTTGGTGTTGCAGACTTTTCAATATTTGCCATTTTCTTTGCCTTTCGACACTTTTCGGCAGTTTGTTACCGCTCTTGGCTACGTTCTTAGCCCCGGCCAGTTGTTTTGCAATATTGTAGGCTTAAATCCAAACTTTGAGTACATTTTACGACGCTCTATCGAATGGCGTTGAGAAAATCGCGACAAAAATAGCGAAAAAAAACTCTTACCCCGCTCTTGGATATTACTTTAAAAAAGGCTCTTACGATCCCCAAACTCACCAACAGGAGCCGCCGGTGCCAGCTTGGACCCCTTGCACGTCTTCTCGCAGTCGGCCCTCGAATCGTGGCGATTTTCGTTTCCGCCGCAACCCTAAATCAACGTCTAGGGTTTTGTAATGTCTTCCAAAATGTACCTTGTAGTAAAATGGTTGACAAATGCCGCGCTTCACGTCGAAGAAAAATTTTTGGGCTCCCGGCTCATCGCATGGGCGCCCCGGTTCGCGGCCTGGAAATTCGGAAATATTGTTTCAAAGGGTCAGGGAAGTGGGGATTTAATAGAAAGTGCGCTGTTTCGATACTTCAAAAAAATTCTGGTATGTGCTATGATCGGAAAAATTCAGAATATGGCCGTAAAATAGCGCAAAAAGAATGTTTTTTTTTTGTAGATACAAGCATCTCACTCCGGTTTCAATAGCATTTTTTTTTGGGCGATACCAACGTTGAACGGAATTTTTCTTGGCTGATATTGATCAGAATTTTACGCTGTATTGAATTACCACATTACTATGGTCAAAAATCGTAAAAATGGTAACCTAAGGATTTTCAACTCCGCAAAAAATAGCGAAATTTGGCGTTTTTAAAGGCGTATATTTAAAGGCATATCGCGGCGTATTTAAAGGCATACACGTAATCCACGGCCATCAAAATCCATCGCGTGCCACAATCAAGACCAAAATCCATAGGAATAAACTTGGAAATCCGCCTTGTCGGGCCCTTTAGACTTACCAACAACGCATTTCACAGTCGTCTCTTCATCTGCAGCATAAATACCGTAGCAGAAAAGTGGTAGCAGCAGCAGCGTTACGTGAGGATACATGGCGACGGAATGGCGGGCGGTGGGCACTGTATTTTCCTGCACCTTGACTGTTGCTGGATACACACAACAATGCTGTTTTCCCTTCCCAATAGATTTCGCTGCCGGCTCCTTTTTGAATGGAAAGAACTGGGCTGGACAACAACATTTCTCACCCACAGCTATCTCAAGAAATAGAAAAGGTCATTTGCTGGGTGGAAAATCAACAGATCCGCGCGGGTGGTGGTGAAAAAACGAGCGCTTCGTACGGATTAATCTCTTTTCGGCTATAAATGATTTATTTTACGCTATTTTGAGCTAAAATTAAAACGCCTCGGATAGTTTTTGATGCTCTATCGAATGGTGTGTAAAATATTAAATAATGAACAAAAAATAAAAAGAAAACTAGGTTATTTTTGTTGGTTTCTGTATAGCTTTTTTAATACATTGTTTTAGCTCTGATTAAAACTCTGAGTGCATTTCTTGATGCTCTGCTGAATAGCATCTTGAAAATGTAAACATAAAAACAAAAAATATCGAAAGTAGCTACCGTAACACCATTTTCAAAGGTTAATTTTGTTTTTGCTAGAACTGACTAATTTTTCGCGTTGGTATCAAAATATTGTTAATTCCTGTTCAAAAATCGCGTTTATCACAATAAAAAATTGAGGCGAAAAAGCCGAGAAAATCAATATTCTTGGCCCATCTCGGCGAGTCTCATGTGGAATTGCTGGGGCTCGCCGGCGTCTAGTTCTGGCTAAACGTTGCAGTACGATTTTAGGCACCAAATACCTCCTCCGAGCTGCCGACGCCTTCCGCAGATTCTGGAGCGGCACGTGCGGGCTCTAAAACTACGATAAAAAATTGTATCAAAATATACCTGGGTCCGCAACGGCCCGCTTGGCCTTCGTGTCTTGGTCCTGGAAAAAGGACGGTTACGACAAGGTAAATGATCCTTGAAGAAATGTGATTTACGCTGGATTACGGTATTTTCAGCGCCTTGGCGTTGTTTAGCTTACCTCGGTTTCATCGCTACCATCCGTCTTCAAGTCGACAAAGTACAGACCGGCTAAAGCTAATTGATTACGTCATGAAATTGTGGTACCCAAACGTGTTGGTCTTGACGTGGCTGACGAAGGCGTTCTTCTCGGCCTCGGTGATGTGGGGCTTCTGAAAATAGCTATCTCTCGCTCTCTCGCTCTCACTCTCACACTCTCATTCTGACTGTCTCTCCCTCTCCCTTTCTCTCTCTCTTCCGCTTTAACTCTCAATGTCGCTTTCTCTCCTGTCTCTCTCTCGCTCTCCCTCTCGCTCTCTCTCTCTCTCTCTCTCTCTCTCTCTCTCTCTCTCGAAAAATCTCCTTAAACAACTGACCGCAAACACAGCCAGGAATACACAAGTGATCGCAAGGAGACGTAGTAATAGCGACATATCGGACGACCTCGGAATTTATGCAATTTTTCGGTCAAACTACTGAAAACACGAGCGGGAGCGCGAACCTCGTGCTCATTTTTATCGGCCCATAATCCCCGAATAACCAGTGGATGGAGGGGTTGGCTGTTGAGGTCAAATTGGTCGATGATGAGTCATCTTTTTTGGGGAAATAAATTTGAACTTTTTAACGTTGAAGGGGTGAGAGTGAGAGCGAGAGTGAGAAAGAGAGAAGGAGCGAGAGAATGCGATAGAATCGAAGAGAGTGGGAGAGAGTGTGTGATAAGGCGAGAGTGATAAGGCAAGTGTGATAAGGAAGAAAGAGAGAGAGAAAGAAAGAGAGAGAGAGAGAGAGAGAGAGAGAGAGAGAGAGAGAAGAGAGAAAGAGAGAGTGAGAAAGAGTGAGACAGAGTGAAGAGGCGCCAAAAAGTTTCCAGCTATCATTAGGAGGATTAAGAAGTGTAGGATCGACAGCGGAAATTTTGGGGACATCTGGAATTTTTTGCTTCCTTTGGCTCAACTCCGCAACTTTACTAACAACGCTAAATTACCGCAACAAAAATCTGTAAATTTTGTCAAATTGTGCCTTCACAGCCCCTTTAAAATCATTCAAATGTCGACCTTCCACCCATAAGCTCGTCTGAACCCAAAGTCCTGTTGGTGCCCTTTTTGGCGGATTCTGCATATTGTTAACAATGTTACCGATCCCCAAACCCACCAACAGGAGCCGCCTGTGCCAGCTTGGACCCCTTGCACGTCTTCTCGCAGTCGGCCCTCGAATCGTGGCGATTTTCGTTTCCACCGCAACCCTAAAACAACAACCCGGGTTTTGTAATATACTTCCCAAATGTCACCTGGGCTGGTACCAAATTTTGTTTACTAGCCCTACCCAGGGCAGTAAAAAGTTACTAGGCTAGTATAATTTCTTACTACCCGGATAAGCGGCCCGTCACCCGGATTACGCACTCTGAGCGGAAAGTTTTAGCGCAATTCTAAAATCAATTTAGCACGTCTCAGGCGCAAAAAAAGGCTCGGGACCGGTGCCACATAGTTGTCGAGAGGCAAACCCGTGTTTTTGCAAAAACATATACGTAAAATACCGACAAGGCTCGACAGGAAACGCCGACAAAAAGTTTACTACCCCCGCTAAATAAGTTACTACCCCGATATAATTTTTTACTAGGGAGATCAAAAAAAGTTATACCTGGGTAAAAAGGGTTAAAGAGATGAGGACGGCATCTGTTAACCCCCCTTGGGGAGGGGGCTTCAACAGCTGCAGCGGCGAGAGAGGGCGCCCAGGGGCGAGGCGCAGAGACATTTTCTTTCCCGCGCGTAATCGATTCACTTGTGCCGCCCCTATCCCTTGAAGCCCGGGCGGACTTTTTTAGTTCGAAAAGGCCGAAAAAGAAACTGTATGGACGTCCACGGACTTTTCGGCTTTTTCGGACTAAAAAGTCCGTGGACTTTTGCAAGACGAAAAGTGCGCGGACGTTGGACTAAAAACCAACACCAATGGTCATGAAGCCGATGGCACTGCTCAGAACTTCTTATCCCTTCTTAGGAAGGTTTTTTATGGCTTTGTAACTTCACTAACCACACTGTCAGCTAAAATTGTCGGTTCGAGTACCTGGCTGGTTCGGGTATGTTGTTACTGGCCGCAGTGAAGCTTCACTAGTTTATTCCGGAGCCATTAACTTGATTTCGACGAAAAATAGGTACTTTTCCCGAAGGGTGGTAACTCTGTTAGTACCCCTAGTAACAAAATTATAGCCGGTAGTAAGTTTTTTTATGATGGTAGTAACAATTTTAATCGGGGTAGTAAAAACCGGTTACTACCCTAGTAAAATGTTGAATTCGGTACCAGCCCAGGTAGTAAAATGGTTGACAAATGCCGCGCTTCACGTCAAAGAAAAATTTTTGCCCGCCAGGCTCGTTCCGGGGCACAGTGCACAAAAAAACCGGGGCGGTTCGCGGCCTGGAAATTCGGGAATATCGTTTCAAAGGTCATGGAAGTGAGGATATGACTTTGGGCAATACCAGCGTTGAACGAAATTTTCCTTAACTGATATTGATCAGGATTTTACGCTGTATTGGATGACCGCATTACTATGGTCAAAAATCGTAAAATTAGTAGCTTAAGGGTTTTCAACTCCGCAAAAGATAGCCAAATTTAGCGTTTTTTTAAAGGCGGCGCGTATATTTAAAGGGGTATCGCACCGCAGTCAAACCAAAATACATAAGACTACGGTCCAGAATTCTGCCTAGCCGACCCCCTTAAACTTACCGACTACGCATTTCACGGTGGTCTCTTCATCCGCAGGATAAATATCGCAGCGGCAGCGCTACGCGAGGATACATGGTGATGGAATGGCGAATGGTGGGCACCGTATTTTCCTGGGCGTTGACGGCAACTTGTGCAGAAAGTTAAACAGTACAGGGTGAGGCATATATATGGCAACACCCCCAGACCATACTAATCTGCCTGCTAGCGGGAAACTAATTATTTTTCGGGGGATTCGATGTTTCTCATAAAAAAACTAGTGTTTCTTTATGCAGGAGACAAATGAAAACGATTGCAAAATTTCTAATTTTTGATTGTAGTAACGGGAAGGCAATTTATAGGGTTGCTGCGTTTCAATATTTTAAGAGTGGTTACAGGACATCTGTGGCCATATTTCAGCAAATTATTGAAACCCCGCCAACTTGCTTAATGTTTTGAGAGACCGGGGAAAGTGTTGCCATAGATATGCCTCAACCTGTAAACACTGGACGATGTTTTGAACGTTTCGTCAGGCCGTGCCTGTTCGTGGGGGCAACCGTAGCGCTTGATAAAAAACTTTATTGCCACATAACGCATACAATACAGAATGGGGCTTGCGAAAGATGATCCCATGATATTCATGGAAAACAGTCCAAATACAAATGATGGAGGGCATAACAGGCCGAGGAGCAACCAGATCTTTAGTTGGGGGGGGCAGGGAATTCAGTAGATCGACATCAGTATAGGTCTCAGCAATTCGTCAGGTTGGAGCGGGCAAAATGGGGCCGGGGGGACAATTTGAATGCAAGATGCGGAAAAACGGAGAAAACGAATGTGCCAAGGTGGGTTCTGGACTGTGCGCGGAGGGGGGATTTCTAGCAACCACTTTCCGTTTTTCCACCCGTTGGTCTTATATTATATGTGTTTAGTAGTTTTTGATTGCTAGAAAGCGGTAAAATATATTTGTAAAAATTTTGACTTGTTTTGCTGATTTTCACACATTTTCGACCAGAAAGTCAAAAATTTTCGAAACTTTTTGTTACTTGTGTATATTGTTTTTATATCTAGATAAACTATGTAAAATGCTGTAAAAATTGTCTAGCCTTTGTGATAGAGTCGCAGAGAATCACAGGAAAAAAATTTGGTTCCCCTCCCCGCGCTAACAGTCCAGAACCCCAAAGTACATCCAATCATTGATCATGCACTGCCCCCATCATGCCCGTGGTTCCAACTCCCAAGAGACAACTCGCTGAAACTATCGGGGGTGGCTATTTCTTATCAGGCTTTGAGGTATTGCTAGTAGCGGAGGTTGGGCTCGCTTCGACAGGAGTGGACCCCGGGCTTTCAGCGGCGGGAGCGGAGTTCGTCACGGGGAGGCCGAGATCGAGTTTTTCGATGTCGGGCGCTTCGGCTTTCCCGAAATCTGCCGCCTGCAGATCCAGTGCGCTGATCTTCTTCCTGTACGAGCAGCGGATCAGGAAGCGATCGAAGCGGCGGATGAATCGATTGTAATTCCTCATCACCCGATCGTGCGATGTCGACTAAACGGCTTGTATGCAGGCACTGGAGCCGCGGATTGGCGCGTGCGTAATCCAGATATGGGGGACGAAAAAAACCCACGAATGGATCCATCCAACCGTCCTTCCACCCTTCTGCAATTGACCGAAACTTGCTATCCACCTTGAACGTCCCAAATTCCATCCGGTCACCGGCCTCCTCTTCCCTAAAGCGCAGCACATGGAGGGTGTCCAAAAGACGGGGAGGGGAATGTCTTTATTTTGAAAATCACGACGCCAAAAATCATTAGGGTAGAAGGCATTTTTCGCATTGCTTGGAATTTCCTTGGAGTTCTCTCTTTCTTTTGTTGGATATGAATGCTAACTGTAAAGTGTTTTTACTCAAGTTGGAGTTTCGATTCGGGACCAAGTGCATCTTATGCAGAATTTTTCGCTGATTCCGAATCCGCTTTCCAAATTTGCTGCGGACTTATATTTTGAAAGTTAACGGCAATTATGGTAGTGTTTTTCACCAAACTCAAGGAACCGTTATCGCTTTCGAATGTCTTGGTCAATTTCAACTTCAAAATTGGCTAGAGATTGGCTAGACAAGCATCTTAAAAGTCAAAACAAGCTTTTTTTATAAAAAATTAAATTTTTTATGCAAAAAGCAAAAGAGAGGTGCAGGGCGGGGATCCGAACCTCCGCCCTGAGCTTGGCAAGCGAGTACTTTGCCAATGCACCATGGAGCCAACCGGAAGGGCGGCTGTGACAGAGTACTTCAGGGCCCCTGGGAGAGGCCGAACCATGGAGGGAATAGTGGACCAGGATCCGAATTTTTGGCTTTTTCAAGCTTAATTTGCACGAAAAATGACTTTTTAAATAAAAGTCCGCAGCAAATTTGGAAAACGGATTCGGCATCAGCAAAAAATTCTGCACAAGATGCGCTTGGTCCCGAATTGAAACTCCAGCTTGAGTAAAAACACTTTACAGTAAGTGCATGAAATTCAAGGATTCCAGTATGTGCATAAAGCCGCGTAGCGGTTTCTCAACCGTGATAATTAGGACTACCATCTACATCTAAACAGGCTGATCTATGAAAAGTTGGCTTGCCAAACTTACCTGCTGACCCAGGTTTCAGAAAAAAAAAGACACCGTACCGTGCCATCTTGAAGCGGGAATAATTCAGCCACAAGGCCACGGTCACGATCAGCAGTGCTAAAAAGTGGTGTAGATTATTACATACATATTTAAAAATTTTGAACCGTGAGTTATTTTCATCACCTTCTATATATAAATTTCTTTCTTATGTTATTTCTTTAGATTTCTTTCTTAGGCATTATGTATTTTTCATGTCTTTAGTAGTTTTTAACGAATAGAAATTTCTAAAAATCCTTTTAAAATTTTTCGAAAGTTTTGACTTTGTTTGGCCATTATTCATGCATATTTGGCCAAAAGTTCGAAATTTTCGAAAATTTTTAATTTCAAATTCATTCATTTTTAACTTCAAAATTTAAAAACTATGTGAAATGCGTTAAACACGGTTTATATTTTGTTATCGGGCCGTAGAAAATCCCAGGGCAAAAATTGTCACAATTTTTTAGCCAATTCGGTTCAGGTTTATTTTGTATGCGGGGGCACGCTAGACCCTTATTCGTACGAAACTTGCGCTTTATAATGCCTTTAAGCAACGGCCAAGCACGGGGGCAAGACACCCACCGAGGAAGACGCCGATTGCCGATATGGCTCCGTAATGCAGCAGCTGCAGATCGTCATTGGCGTATTGTAATGTTTCGGGACGCCGGGCGTGCACCGGGACTTTTGAGATGTCGCGCTCGACGCAGAACATCTTAAATGGTCGTTATCGTCATCGGATGGGAGGTTAACTGCCATCACTTCAGCAAAACCGATTGTCAAAGAACGCGAAAACTAATTAGCACCCGGTCGGCATCCTCGGCTTTGGCACAGTCGGTGGGCACGATTTGATACTTGGGCTTGTCGCTAGCGGCGGCGTCCCTGTAGTAGGGATTGGTGGCGCAGTTCAAGAACATGTTGTCCCGAATCAACCCAAGTTGATGCTCCTAGGAGATGGATGTTATCATCGTTATGCGGCCGCCGTGGTACCGCCAGACTAGCTGTTGCTTGGACGCACTTCTTCGGGTAGGCCTTTCCGTTGGTTCCCTTCCAGTTCAGATCTTCGTTGTCCTTGTCCGAGAGGAATGACGCGTACGGTGGTGCCTAAAAAAATGAATTTCACCAGAAACTGTTCCACCTGCGATCGGAAACCCTTGACAAACTTGTCCCCCTCACGGATGTCGAGCGGGATACATGTCTTGTCGGCAAAGTGGTGGTCCGTATAATGGCACCAATCCACAAACTTCGACGGGTCTGGGGCCGGCAGGAATATGTCCTTGTCCACAAAGTCGTCCGCGATGAAGTACCTGAAATTGGTGGCGTAAGTTAGCGCTACAAGTCAATTTGCTTACTCATGGTCTTTAAGCGGTGGTGGAAGACAGTCTTCTTTTCCGAGCTGTTGCGGCGTGCACCACTGTAACAATATTGGGATAAGGATCCAGGGCTCTGTAGCGCTATTGAGACCCGAGATGTCATAGATAGTGGCCGGCTGGGGTGGAAAAAATTACCCACAACCAGGGGCGTAGCTGACCCCAAGTTTCGGGGGGGGGGCAGCAAGAAAAAATTTTCGCAATTTGAGCGCCGCAGGCGAAAAATTTCGCTAAAATAGCAGCGCCGCAGGCAAAAAAAAATGAAGAAAAAGTAAGAAAAACAGCGCCGCAGGCGAAAAAGTTTCAAGTTGAAAAAAATCATAAGGGGGGACGGTTCTGTTCTATTTCGCGTGGGGGAAAAAACTGTGCGGGGGGGGAAATTTTCTTCGTTTTTTATAACTCATTTATATGATGATATTTTGAATTGTAATTAAAACTCTTAGTATATTTCTTCACGCTCTATCGAATGGCATTAAAGAAATTTTTGAAAGTTATCGAAAATGTCGAAAACTAGCTTTCGACTCCACGATCCCATGTGGAAACACCGAATAAACCTTGTTTTTGCTATAGCTATTTTATAAAACAATATTTTAAGATGAAATTAAAACTCTCAGTATATTTTTGATGCTCTGTCGAACGACGGGTTCAAAGTATCGAAAAACTGGCGAAAATGCCGAAAACTAACATTGCGGAACCAGTTTCAATAGTTTTTTTTGTTTTTGCTATAACTTTTTTATATTACAATATTTTTAGCTAAAACAAAAACTCTTAGTATATTTTTTGATGCTCTATCGAATGGCGTTGCAAAAATCCCGAGAAAATAGCGAAAAGATGGAAGGTTCCGCGAATCATATTTCCCCCCCGCACAGTTTTTTCCCCCACGCGAAATAGAACAGAACCGGGGGGACCCTTATGTTTTTTTCGGGCCCGCCGGATTTCGGGGGGGGGCAGCCTGCCCCCGCTGCCCCCCCCCCCCTTCTACGCGCCTGCCCACAACCATGGTTGGCAGTTGCTCGAGAACCTATGATAGGCAGTACCTTGTAGCTCTTCCATTGTTCCGCGGCGGTCGGATTCGATGGGCGAATGTCCTCCGCTTCGAACATCGAACGTCCGTCAATCAAATCGGCTTTGCCTAGGCCAGCGTACTGATGGAGACTCGGGATGCATGGGATGGTATTTGGGCTGCGCGGATACCCGTTCAGGATACTGAAGAAGGGGATTACGGTAGGAAAAATTCTAGCAACTCACCCAGGGACGGTGAAGCCAGCGTCGCATTGCACTACATATTCCAACCCTAACTTCGGCGGCTTGTACTCGATCTGGGCCGTTAAACTAAAGGGAACCGTGCGCCGACGACACAGAACTGACGTTTTGGGGCATTTCTTTTCGCGGATCATCTGTCGGGTGCAGACATTGTGCGGGAAGAACATCTCGTTCTCTGAAAATTCCAAAGTTGTCGGGCACACTTCTCGCTGGACCGTGTTTTGTGCCCGGCGCGGCGAAAGTGGCGATCCTGATGCACTTCGGATCCGTAGAATCTCCTGCAAATTTTATGCAAATCAGTAATACTTCAAATCAAATCGGTTTTATTTGTATTCAGGGTCGACGAACTCAAATCAAATGAATTTGAGTGGAGATTTGAACAAAAAGTCAGTCAGGCATGGAAATTGAAAATCGTAGCATCTAACTAGGGATGCCTTCCAACTTACCATCGAGTTTCGACTTCAAAATTGCTAAGCTTATAGAGTTTTAGCTTGCGATCCCAATGCGCTAAAAATTTCGGTGCTTCCGTGGTCGCGGGGGAGCAATTTTTTAACGAGGGAGCAGGCATGATTTTTTTCGTGAAGGCGGTTTAGGGTTGAAGTAATTATTTAGAAAATTTCCATAGCATTTTACTCGGTTTTTATCAAACAACAAACATAAATACCTAGACAAACGTTTGAAAAAATGTTTAAACTTTAGAAAACACGAGTTTTTGCGCTGAAGTTTTAGCTCTTGCTCTGGAGAATAAGCCTACAGTACGTTTGAGTAGAAAAAAATGGCGGAAAATAAAAATATTTGAGTTTTAGACTCCTAGTACATCGAGACATAGCGGCCTGATCTTTTCAACTTCAAAATCTTGTAAAAAATTTTTTAGCAATTTTTGCCGCAAGAAAACAACTTTTTTATAGTAATTCGGGTAAGAATTTACTTTACCCCCCCCTCCCCCCACATCCGAAGGGTCTCAAAGTTGTCGGTATTTTCGCTTATTTTGTCGGGATTTTTGCTACGCCATTCGATAGAGCGTCGAAAAATATACTAAGAGTTTTAAATTGAGCCTACAATAATGTAAAATAAAAAAGTTATAGCCAAAAACTTCCGGCTGGGGGGGGGTAAAGTAAACCGTAGCCGTAATTCGACCACGGCGAACATTTTGAGATACTCAGCGCACTAATAGGACGTATGGCTGAAAAGTTAGGGCTGGGGGGGGGGGGGTAAACTGCACTTAAGCCAAAGCGCGCACCTTCCTGGCAGAACAGCTCTCTCGGATCGCAGTCAATCGTCCAGCGTCCGGTCGCGTCATCGATTCCCAGAGACGCACCCAGCTCGCACTTCTGCTTGCAGGGTGGACACTATGATGAACGGAGGTTATACCCTTTTTGGTGCTTCCGAGAATCTAGCCCTAAAACCCCTTTTTCAGAGATTTAGTTCTGCTTTTGGTTCTTACAGTTCTTATGGTTCTTTTGCTTTTTTTTGCAATCGCTTCAGCTGGTCTTCTAGATGTGTTCCCATGCTACAAAATTCAAAATTTTTTTCCTTATGCATTTTTCGGGTACATTTTTGGTGAGTTTTGAGCGTACTAAATGGAATATTCCAGCAAATGGGTGTCTCGCCGTTTGATAAAAGATACATTGATTTCTAACCAGGGTCTCACTAGGGAACGCGAAACAGGAGTCTGATCGGGCGAAGTGTGCTAATCACCGTTCTTTCAAACCTCTAAGAGCAGCAGCGGCCTAATTTTGACGAGCAACGTGTAGGCGCCTTGGGCTTGAAGGGCTTCGGATGCATAACAGGCAAATGGAATGTTTGGCTGGCACTGCAAAAACAAACACGGTTAATTCGTAAGAAACCGACGTCGGGCGGGCCAGCGGGTGCTGGCGGATCTCCGGGCGCCGACGACGGCCTGAAAACCGGGAGGTTCGCAAGGGGGGCTGAAGTCCAGCTCAAAAACTCAAAATGTTCGCCATGGTCGAATCTCTGACGCCAAAAATTGGGTTCTGGTCTCTTAGCGGGGGGATTTTAGCGCTGACGAATTTCCCCCTGTGATTCACTACGGCCCTATAACTAAAAAAATACCAACTATTTTTATAACCTTTTACATAGCTTTTAGATGTAAAAAAATATAAAAATTATTAACGTTTTCGAAACTTTGTTTGTTCAAAAATGTAAGCAAAATTACGAAAATATTTTTTATAACGACTAATTATCAAAATGGCATTAAGCTGGACCGTACTCCTGAGGGACGGCACCGACGGTGGTGATGAATGCGAGGGATCCGATGAAGATCAGCATCAGCAATAGGCGCTGTGTTGACGACGCGTCGCCGAACATCAGATTGGACGTCTGGGTTGAGACGAAAATGAGTGTGTCGCGTTACGGGTTCCTTTACCTGCGTAAATACTTGCAAATTGGGCAGCGTCCCGGAGCCCCAAGTTTCTCCATTCAAATCCAGCATTCGCGACAGCGATGGAAAATTGCAAAACTGGCTTTGCGCGTTTTGTGTCGCTAGCGAGGCAAAATGAACAGGTTTTGTTGTTATTTTGTTTTGTTGTTTTGTTTTATTGTGTTAAGTTGTTCTCGCTATTTAAAATTATAATTAAAAAGGGAAGGAGGGCGGGTTGTCATATTTTGATGATCGGTTTTTGGGTAAGAATAATGCAAAGTCAACCCTTTGATAGGTCGTATATGGGGCCGGGGTTGAAAAGCCGCGAAGCGGTTCTATGGGTTGGGCTCTATCGAGGAAAAGCTCAAAATTTTTTGAAAAGCCCTTTAAACCGCACGTTCTGGGACGTTTTTTTTGGAAAAAACCAAAGATTTTTGCCGCGGCCGGGGGTCGAACCCCGCCCCCCGCTCGGGAGGCGCGGACACATACCAGTCAGCCACAGCTACCAGCTGGAGGGGGAGTGAGAGGCGCCCCACGCCGAAAAGCAGGGAAATTGCCTCGCACGGCATGGGCAGGCAGTGCGCGCGGTCCCTACATCCATAGGGAGTACACGGCCCCTCCCAAAAACTACAGGGTGTCCCAAAAAAAAAACCCCCCCTCGGCATTTGGCCGTCTTCTATCGGCCGGGGGCCTAATTTTTGCCAGTGATGGGGACCCATAAAAACTATATGCAGCCGAATTTTCTAAGCAAAATATTGTAAAACCAAAAAGTTATCGCTAAAAAACTGATTTTTGGAAAACGCTGGTACTCGTTTTTGGCTATGTTTTCGCAATTAGCATGCGGATTTTGAGTAATTTTCCAAAAAAATGATCATTTCACGGTCAGTTTCTGGCAATCCTACCTTATATAATTTTGGCGTGTAACTGTGTGTGTGTGTGTGTGTGTGTGGATGTCACTTTCGAGGCCCGATTTGAGGGCCTTCCCGTGCATAAAATGCCCCAGTTCTTCGTAACCCGGGGGAATCGACCCTTCTGTTTCCGATGACGTTTTCAGAATTTCGATAAAATACAAGTTTACAAAGTTAAAGCCGGTTTTATTCATTTTTGGGGGTACCGGAGAGCTAATTTGCATAATGCGAAAAAATACAAATTTCCTCATTCTTGCCAGTTGCACTCGCGCGTGTGGTCGGGAGTTGGGAGGTCCGCAGGACCCGAGCTGTCAGAAAGTCAAACTTTTCATGCAAAGGCCGCATTCCAGCGCCCAAGGCCCGCGAAGCGGCTTTTGGGCGCTGGTTTCGATAATAAAAAGTGATCAAAAGGCCCAATTTAAACGTAATTCTCGTAAATCAAAAAATTTCTACAGGTAGAAAAGAGCGCCCTCTTCATTTTTGCTAAACATTTCGAGGCCGAAATCCGTCAAAATCCTAGTGAAATCTGCAAAATAAACCTTAATTTTGATATATCTTTTTTGTTTTACAATATTTTGCTTAGAAAATTCGGCTGCACATAGTTTTTATGGGTACCCGTCACTGGTAAAAATTTGGTCCCGATTGGATGGAAGACGGCCAAATGCCGAGGGGTTTTTTTTTGGGACACCCTGTAGAATAGAAGGTCGTTCGTAGCTGAAATGCTAAATTTGCATTTTTACGCCGGAAATGCGTGAAATTTGCACACCCAACCATAACCGAAATGGGGAGTTGTTGCATTTACTAAGCTCCATCCACCTGATGTTCGGTCGTCGAGGCAACAACGGCGATGGTCTGGTGATCGTGTGGCTGCTCTTCAGCCTTCTCCACGCATCGCCGTCCTCAACTTTCGGCTCGTCTGAACACATCATCGACAGCAAGGCGTGCGTTTCACCGCTCTCCCTCGGCACTGTTGGAATTACCCCTGCCTATCTGAACGGTACCCTCACATGATCGATTGCAGGCCTCCCGGAAATGCTACCGTCCAACCAGAAGCCGCCTACGGACCCCTCGACAACGTGACGGATGCGATTGGGGGCATCTCGATCAAGGCCTCTGCGCGTGTCAAACGTGCCGATGTGGGAATTGCGATAGACAATAGATTCGGAAAATCAAATTTAGTGCGCCAATATGCTTACACCGTTCGCGTGTGTGGCCCGACAGATACTGGAAGCTAGGAAGCTGCCACACAAACTTGGAGCAATCACGGTAGTTTATTGTCGCTTTTGATACAATTTGGTTGATACAATTTTCGAATTAGCCCCGTTAGCGCGGCAAACAAATTTTTCCCAGTAACCCTGTACGACCCTAACCATTTTTATAGAATTTTAGACAGTTTTTAGGTATACAGGGTGAGCAGGAAAAAAAGAACGTGGTTTGCACTGAAATCATCAACTATAATAATTTTGTTGTGGTCTCCGTCCGTCCGTCCGTCCGTCTGTCTGAAGCCGAATTCAACTCGAAGGGGAAAGGAGCTAGAGCTTAGCTCTCTTCGGATTCGGATAGAGCGTGGTCAGAAACCCCCAAACTGATAAAAAAAATATGAAAAAGTTGTAGTTTAAATTATTAAAATTAACTTTGAAAGTGGCGCCTTAATAAAACGAGTGGGGGCCCCTCTCCCGGGAGGCCACGCCCCTTCCTCTTCGCCCTCTTCCCCAGGCCCTTTCCCCGCCCAAATAGCTTTTTAAGTTACTTTAATACTTTTTAATACTTTTAATTATGTTAATTCATTATTTAAATTATTTAAAGCTCTAAAGCCATCGGGAAGGTATTTAGGTAGTTTTTGAAGGGGGATTTCAGCCATGGGGGGTATCTGAAGCCATCATGAAGGTATTTAGGTAGTTTTTGAAGGGGATTTCGGCTATGGGGGCATTGATGGAGGTGGGAAAGGATGTGGTGGAGTGAGACATGTAGGGTAGCCCGAAGGCCAGGTTGGTTGCAGTCGCGAAGCGACTGTAACCATCTGGT